GTTGGGTCTTGTGTCTCTTAACTTTCTCTTCACAATATCCCACAGATTCTCTCTGGGGTTCAGGTCAGGAGAGTTGGCAGCCCAGTAATACCATGGTCAGAAAACCATTTACCAGTGGTTTTGGCACTGTGAGCAGATGCCAGGTCGTACTGAAAAATGAAATCTTCATCTCCATAAAGCTTTTCAGCAGATGGAAGCATGAAGTGCTCCAAAATCTCCTGAAAGCTGCATTGACCCTGGCCTTGATGAAACACAGTGGACCAACACCAGCAGCTGACATGGACCCCAGACCATCACTGACTGTGGGTACTTGACACTGGACTTCAGGCATTTTGGCATTTCCTTCTCCKCAGTCTTCCTCCAGACTCTGGATCCTTGATTTCTGAATGAAATGCAAAATTTGCTTTCATCTGAAAAAGGTACTTTGGACCACTGAGCAACAGTCCAGTGCTGCTTCTCTGTAGTCCAGGTCAGGCTGATCAGCTGCTGTTTCTGGTTCAAAAGTGMCTTGACCTGGGGAATGAGGCACGTGTAGTCCATTTCCTGCACACGCCTGTGCACGGTGGCTCTGGAAGTTTGTACTCCAGACTCAGTCCACTGCTTCTGCAGGTCCCCCAACGTCTGGAATCAGTCCTTCTCCACAATCTTCCTCAGGGTCCGGTCACCTCTTCTCGTCGTGCAGTGTTTTCTGCCACACTTTTTCCTTCCCACAGACTTCCCACTGAGGTGCCTTGATACAGCACTCTGGGAACAGCCTATTGGTTCAGAAATGTCTTTCTGTGTCTTACCCTCTTGCTTGAGGGTGTCAGTGATGGCCTTCTGGACAGCAGTCAGGTCAGCAGTCTTACCCATGATTGTGGTTTTGAGTAATGAACCAGACTGGGAGTTTTTAAAAGACTCAGGAATCTTTTGCAGGTGTTTAGAGTTAATTCATTGATTCAGATGATTAGGTTAATAAGTTGTTTAAGAACCTTTTCATGATATGCTAATTTTTTGAGATAGGGATTTTTGGTTTTTCTTTACTTTTTTGCCAAAATCATCAATATTTAAACAATAAAAGGCTTGAACTACTTCAGTTGGTGTGCAATGAATCTAAAATATATGAAAGTTTAATGTTCATCAGTACTTTACAAAAAATAATGAACTTTATCACAATATGCTAATTTTTTGAGAAGGACCTGTATTGTTAAGCTAGATTTAGTGAATCACGACTGTTCAACAGTGCCGTGAAACATCAGAACATTTAGTCGCGATAATTCTGCCTTGAAAGATAAGCACTGTGTTGACCTGTCTGCTCCGAGCTGTTTATATAAACACAAATGTTCTGTTGAGAAAACGGAGACAAAAGTGTAGTGAATTAACTTTAGCTAATGTCGTGTTCTTTCTCTTTTGATAAAGAGCTGTTTTATATCCCTGATAAACAATACAAACTTTATGACTGATGTTTACTGCTGACTGTTAGAGCATCAATTCAAAGCTGACTAACTTTTCCTTTCAGAGAACATTAGATTCTGATGTTTCACTCATGTGGGTCACAGTTATGTCTCGTTGTATCTGAACAAGTTTTAAACTTCCTGTATTTTATTATACAATTTACTGCTTCAGAAAGCTTTAGTACAAACAACGCCAAAAAAAAAAAAAAACATTAAAGTGTCACCAGGGGCAGCTCAGTGAACAGCAGGTTTTTATAAAAACAAATAAATGAAAAGTAAAGTTAGTTAAGACACCAGAAGGCCTCACCATGCCGTCTAAGTACTCGTTCTGATCGTCCACCTCTCGGTCAATTTCATAGGCCAGCTGCCAGAAACACAACACAACTTCAAGCATTTCATTACAAAATAAATCCATAAAAGTTACGCAGATCTCTAAAATGTAACTAAAATTGTAATCTTTAAACATCAAATGAGATTAAATTCCTTAAAGGAGTGCCTATCACCCACTGCTCTTCATCCCAGAGTTTTAAACTGAGACCATTAGTGACCCATCACATCAAAATGAGGATTAAGTCTAAAAGTGGGACATGGAGAAATAGGCAAATGTAGTGTTTTGATTAAAACATTTGCAAAAATTGCATTTTGTCAAAACATAATGAATAAATGCCTTATTAACGTATCCTTTGAATGAACTGTCTGAAATATAATAATAAAACAAAATTTTGAAGCACCTTTTTGAGAAGTAGCAACAAAAAACCTGATTTTGAGGAAAAACGCCTTTAAAATTTTAAGATTTTCCCATTGAGCTAGCAAAGTTTTGTTTATTTTTAGCTGGGAAATCTCAATATTCAAATATAATTAGAGGTTTCCTCTTTATAATATATCAAAAATTTCTCATTAAAATGACATAAAATTAGGATTCAGACCAAATATTTATGTATTATTGTAACCAACAAGACAAATTAAGTCATATATATGGATTTACTTAAGATATCAAAATGTAGCGTTTAAAGCAGGAATCTGAAAATGTAATTAGGTCATTTTGACCAAATTTGACTTAATCCTCATTTCGATATGATGGGTCGCGGTTTTGATTGAACCTGGTTAACGAGGTTGTGCAGCATCTCAAACCACACCGCCAGATGTGTTAGCTCTTTGAGGACTCTCAGCTAACTACCACATCACATTTTAGCTCAACATCTGTCAGTCTGACTGAGTTGTAGCCATTTTTGTGATTGCTAAGGTCCGTGGCAGCCATCTTGGATTATGTACAGAAAATGATTCAATATAAAAGTTCAATTTAAACAGGCTGAATTCTAACTATGTGTGTGTTCCCAATAAACAGCTAGCTGTGGCGCCCATGTTGAACTGGATTGACATGCACAGACTCATCTGTCAGCTTGTTAGCAAAATATGTCACAAACCACTAAATAGACTTTAAGGTGACAATTTATGACTGCCCAATTCAAGAAGGCCGCCACTACCAACTGATGTAAGGAAACACAAAAATAGCTACAAACATGATAAACCTCATAAACCATACTTTTGAATCCATAACTAATAATTAACTTATGAGGTCCACTCAGTTTAAAACAGTTGCTACAAATAATTAACATTAGCTGCAACAAAAATGTCCATAACCAACTGACAGATACTGAGCTAAGTTTGTAGCTGTAGCTGAATCATTTCACACAGATCCATGATCCCATAATGGTCCCATGGGACTGTGCATAACATCATTCACCAGAGCTGGACAGAAGAGCTGTAACTCATCAGAACAATGTGATTTTAGTTTAAAACTAGAATCAACAACGGTGGGATAAGCATTCCTTTGAGGAATAATACGCCTTTAATCATCATTCAGATTGGTAAGCTACTCATTTTTGTGGGTTTACGTACAGATTTCAGTCTGGAGACTTTGGTGGCCAAATTGTCAGTCATTCGTTTGTTTTCAGCATCCAGCATGTCGTCGACGGAGCCATGACCTAGGGACACAAACACAGGTAACACACGCAGGTTGTAAGTCTGGAGTCTGTGCATTATCTAGGGATGTTGACATGTCGTCAGCAGCTGCTGCCATTTTCTTCTCAAACTGCTGTGACCAGACTGTACAAGGCTGCTCGGTGCGTTCGCTTGTAATTTCCTCCTGCTTCGTTATTTCTATGAGTTTCAACAAACCAGGCTGCCGTCAGGTAGTTAGCTACAGCCTTGAGTTTTTAACTTTTGTTGATGCGTTTTAAAGACACATTTTTAAAAATAGGATCAAAGTAAATCGCCTGAGTTTTTTAATGACCCCTTAAAGAGATAAACTGCCTGAAGAACATTATTTTATCTGCCCTTCTTCCAAATTTGATGATTTAAAACGTCAAACTATGTTTTTTTATCCAGAACAGTGCTTGTTGCAAAGTGTTTTGTTGCTCATCTTCATCACCTGACACATTTAACACGCTGTCATTGGTTGAGGAGCTTTGTTTACTAAACAGATGTCCACATGGTTTTTAAATTGTTTTCATTTCCTTACTTTCTAAGACACATTAAGTTGATTTGATGCTACAGTTTGTCTTGTAATGTTATTTTATACCTTTTCTGCTACTTTTGAATTGGCTATTGTTAAGTTTTATTAGTTTTTTTAGGATACAAGATGCTTCCTACAAAAACCAGAATGTGAATCTTTTCCTAAAATTTCATGGTGATGTCTTGAACACTGAGGAAGTTATGAACAAAAATAGAAAACAACAAGGTGAAATGGTCACATTGTTTCTGCTGTGAACTGCAGCAAGAAAACATGAGCTGATTTCACCTGAACAAACATCAATAACTTCCCTCATACTTCAGATAATCACATGGTTTTGGTTTTATTTTGTTTGGTTTGTAATGATCTTCTGGAATCTGCTGTCAGATTTAATATTGGTGTAGGATTAAAATTTATCCACATCCTTACATTATCACACTGATGACAGATCTCTGAAATGATAATGTTTCTAATCAGATCACATAAAATAACTTTTAAACAAATGATGTACTGGTTTCATCGCCTCCAATTGGGTTTGAGATGATCATTATGTCATCACATATTTCTGCTTTGTTCTGTAACAACTGAACACATGTAGACCACTTCACTTGTAATCACGTTGTGTTATTTCATAACATTAATAAAATCAGAGTTTTATAAGCAACATCATGGATGATAAAACCACTACACTGTCACAAACAAAACCAGTTGGGTAGAAAGCTAACATGATGTTGCTAGCTAACGCTCGGTTTCAAGCTCGCCGTAATTTAACTTTATTCACGCAAAGCAGGAGAGAATTGACTTCTGTTAGCATAATATTCTCCTTCAGACGGTTTCTAACTCGTGTCAACACATCCAAGCAACGAACGGCTCCGTCTGGAGAAGTGAATCCGTGTCAAAAACAAACAGTACCTCTGTTCCAGTCCGCCATGTTGCCACTGAGAGAAAGAGACACGTCACGATCAGCTGTACGGACGCACGTGAGCACTGGACTAGAGAAACACTGGAAAGACCAGTCCTGACGAGCTTTGGTCACGTGACGCAGTGATCTGCTGCTGCAAGGGGAGAGTCTGCATTGGCAAAACAGCGAACAATGAGGGCTGGTTATTTAAAAGCTACAGAAGAGGATTAGGACCAGTGGAAGAAAAAAAAAAAACAACAATTTAGAATTGTTTTTCCCAGTGGCCCTAATCCTCTTCCACAATAAAAAGTGAAAACTATTTATATTATTATTTTTTTTTATCAGAAATTGTATCATGTAACAGAATAGAAACAAGAAAACTTGCCTCATTTCACAAGTAAGCAAATTTGAACTTATTTACCTCAATGTGGATTCAGAGGCCATTTCTCTAAGACTGCAAGGGAAGCTCAGCTTCCCCTAAAATGTAAAAAAA